ACCATAATACCGATTTAAAAATCCTAAATTGGAGTGCCAACGGTTTTCAAAGGAAAATTCTACGAGTTCAAACACTTTCTTCGCGACCGAAAAATAGATATTGTATGTCTAACAGAAACTCACCTCAATAATAACAATAAAGTGAATATTCTAGGTTACATAATCTATAGAAAAGACAGAAACGCGATCCACACAGGTGGAGGAATCGCTATCAACAATAACATTAAGATAAAACATAACCCTGCAATAACCCACAAAATAATAATCTAGAAATGGTGGAAATATCAATTCTATTTCTGTATGTAACATCACATTAATAACAGTTTGCAAACCGCCAAATACGAAACTGCCGATAGATATTATGGAAACTATATTCAGTAATAATAATAATAATAATAATAATAATAATAATAATAAAATAATACTATTTTATGCAAAAAATGTCAGCCCCATGCTTCGTACTACCACCCCTCAATGAAAAATATTATTAGAAATTGCCATGAAAACTAATTGGATAATACATGCAACCACACAACCGACCCATTATTCGTAAAATAAAAGCATTAAATCGGATATACTTGACATAGTATTAACGCAAAATATAAACTGGTCCATACATCAGTATGCAATTCCAACATCAAATTTGGATCATAACCCAATATTAATACTATGCAATGAAACAACTCGAACAACGTCAATATTCATTTTCAAGTATATAATAAGACCTTCACTAACATACGCCTGTCAAATTTGGGGAGGTACAGCAAACTGCAATTTAAATAAACTACAAATAATTCAAAAGAAGTATCTCCGCTGGGCAGTTAACGCACCTTGGTTTATCCGCAATGAGCAAATTCAAAAAGATCTCTATCCATTGCCCAAAATTGCAATGGATACACTCTCCACCCGATTCTACAATAGCCTATCAGCCTGCCCTGCAACCCGAAAATTTAAATTAGGTTCCACTTCATACCCGTATCCAAGCATTAGAAGTCGGCATTCCAAAGACTTACTTGGCCTACGTAAAATAACAGAAAAGAAAGCAGTTAATAACAACAACTTTAAAATAAAATCGAGAAGCTAGAGGTCCCTTCCTGGACACTCCTCTGTATTGTCTAGAAATTTCATCGATATTTTTTAAAAACGAGACACCTTTAATGTGACTTATTGTAAATTGGCTGAAGTGTGTCTAATACCGAGAAAACGCGATTTTTCGTTTAATATACTGAAAAACGTTTGTACATAATTATCGGAAATTCTTTCGGGTGGTATATTTTCCAGTAAGAACATTCATAAGAATTGTTCTTTTTATTTATTTTCTTTTAAATTGAATAATACAAAAGTCAGTGTTAAAAAACTCTACATTTGTTATGATTACTAAAATCTACTTATAATTAATTTATAATAAACTTACTACTAATATTAAAATACAACTTACATAGTACAAGGGTGAAAGAGGTACCTTTATATGATAACTATACCTTGGGTCGAGATCTGAAAACTTATTGAGGAATGTATGAAACGGAAATTTGTTCTTGATGCGGGTTCTGTGGATTGGGTTTTGGCAGTCTTAGGGGGGTTAAATTGGGTATATTTGGAATGTCGTGGAAGAAGTGGGCAGATAATAAAAGAATGTGGTTAGTTATCGGTTGGAACATGAATTCTTTATGAACTTGTGAATTGGAGATGAAGTATGGTGCATTCTTGATGGTGCGGAGGAACTGATTTTGGACTATTTGGAATTTTTTGGTTTTCGATTTGGCTGCGCTGATTCAAACTCGGCATGCATATAAAAGTAGTGGAATGTACGTCCACTACTTTACGTAAGGTTTTGTAAATCAGTAGGACGGTATTGTACAGTAATTTAGCATATCTATTTATTATTGGTTTTATTTTGTGTAATTTAATTTTTGCTTGTATAACTTATTATATTTCTATACATTCCTCAGTCATGATAATTACCAAGGGTGGAATTTCAATAAAATCACATATTTGTTCATACGTTGTGATCAAACTTTTGTCATAAATACACGATGAAGGCTATTTGAGGGGATTTGGTAACTTTACTTGATTATTGACTTGATTATTTCTCTAATTCCAGGTACCCATAGTTCCCAAGTTTATATTTTCAGTATTTAAAATAAATCACAATAATTTGAGATTTTTAGAATGTTATTTTTAACTTCTAGTCCAAATTGAATTAGTTAGTTCAGTTCAGAAGTGAATATGGATTAAACGAAACACATCTGTTTCTCTCTTTCGAAAACTTTGTTGTTGTTGTTTTTTGTCTTCATTGCATGGTAATGTTTTGTTCTCGAAATACGTAAACGTGTAAACTTGGACTTGGCGAATTTTCACGCTGGTCTAATGTTTACGTTAACATTTCGCTAACCACGATGAATAAATGATGAATCGAATGGCATGGGAGCAGCCTTTGCTTCCCGAGCGAATGAGCTTTAAATGATGCGCCGTGCAGCGGCGGCGGCGGCGAGTGCGTGTGGTCCGGAAGCGCGGTCCCCCACGACCCTGCAGGGAGGGCATGTGGGTGGGTTGGAGAGAGGCAGGAGGGTGGGCCTCGCGAGGGGTCCGCCTCGGAGCGCCTGCCCCGGAGGGCTCCTTGCGTTGGAGGCCATGGAGGGCGCGCCTCAGCTATATCCGGTGGCGGAGCCGAGCGGTTCCCGGCGCGGGCTATTGATGGCGCTGCAGCTTCGCCTTGGCTGCCTTCCACGGCGCCGCGAGCGAGGGCTGGTCAGCGACAGGTGTTGCCAACGGGGCATATTGCGGGAGGCGGTTCTCGGAATGACATTTCAAGTTGCGCGTTGCACGCTGGGGGTGGAAGGGCTGTTCGTGAAAATCGTGGCCGATTCAAGTGACGGAACGAAGACGACCTTTCGTGGCTAGTCTCGTCATGTTCTTCACCGTCCGAGCCAAGCCGCGTAAAGAAATGTAGCCTAATCAAGTTCCTAAGGATTGTTCTTTTTGTATTTCAGTAGCTATTACAAACGTTTGTATCCCCCGAAAAAGTACAAATATATAGTAGTTTTCAAATGTTTTCTGAGGCCACCACATGGTATTCTGTTTCTTATATTAATGTTTTTGTGACTTCGCAAATCGATTATCGAAGATGTAATTTTTCTTTTGAAAACTGAATGAGGAGGCTGAGAGTTCTGAGAACATAATTATAAAATTTACAAGCTGTATCTTCTGCTATATCCTGAACATCATTTTTACGATCCCGAATGTTGGAGGAACATTACATTCAAGGAGCACAAATCTTATTTCATGTACAATATTGTTCAGTACATCACTAAAATATTCTCGATTTTAAGCCTCAATTCCAGAGAGTAGCAAGGATATATAAGCTTCCTCCAAACCGACAAAACGTTAAATGCGGTTCGGAGAGCATTGCTCTTCGCCCCGGTCGACGGGAATGACTACGATTTGTTTCGAGAACTCTCGCTTGCCCTCCTCCCAGAATGACTAAGAAAACAAAGAATACGTTATGCGCCCCTAGAGCGATGGATGGCCGCGATCTGGGCGGCGTAATGGCGGTGATACAGCGACGAAACACCTCGTAAAAGAGCGGGCAGCGGCACCGGAAGGCCCGGCGTGTGGCTCGTCTCACCGTCGGGAAATCCATTAGCCTCTAAACACCGGAATGCTAATCGTGGGCCGACGGCCGACATGGAGCTCCGTGCCCTGTGCAACGCACACAATAGTGATATCCGTGTCGATTCCAAAAGAAATTAATCTACGCGTTTCTGAATTGATCTGTGTCATACGGACGTCATAATCAATGAGGGGGAAAAGCACATCAGAAGCGTGTTAATATGTTTTTTTTAGGGGGGGGAACAATTTTTTGATAATATTTCATTTGTTAATTTAAAATATTACTCATTTATTACGAATATCTAATTATTAAATAAATACAATTTGTCGACATTCTTTCTAAAATTCTTTAACTTTGAATTTGCAAGAAATACTAACTTTTTTCTTATTTAAGATCACATCAACATCCAGGTCATTAGCAGTCACTACTGCTTTTAATGGTATGGTAACTGTGAAGATGACATAATATGGTGACGATAGAGGGTGAAAGGACGAACACAAGTACAACCGTACGCGAGGCGGAGCTCGAAATCGCGATCCTTCGGTTCGAGATCGGTAGAGCACAACTGCCATAACGATCTTGGCTATCCGGACCGGCAATACTAACTTTGTTTAGCATTTTTTTCGCGTTATATGCCTAGACCTATAAACCGAGAACTGAATGAAATGAAACGGGATAAAGTTCCATAAAAGGTTTGTAGGCTAATTTTAGAAAGATCCATGATAATAAGAAACAGCAACTTGCGGTTTTATTAATATGAATTCTAATTCTTAATTACATTTTAATCATAAATTACATTACTGAGTATTAAAACTTTCGGTGATAGTCACAATAATAAATTACATTGATAACAGTAGTATACCCCAAGCAATGGATTTTAATTTCACTTTCCCCCTTGGATACAGCCTACTACTTTAGATAGCTTTGTATGACATTTGTAATTGTGAAATCTTGTTGGCATTTTTTAAATGTTTTAGTTCGTTAGGGAGCGTGTCCTCAATTAAATAGTTGGGGAGGGGAGACTCGCGGTTTAGTAGAACTAGCGCTCTGCAGGAAAATAAGATTTAGACAATTTAATTGATGTCAGTTTATGATGGGACCGCTTGGGCTACTTGTGACACCGACGAAGGAAGGTGATTAGAATCCGAGTAATTTAAACGAAGATTGATATGACTAAGTACGATCAATTCTTGACAGACCTATGAAGACCTAAGCAGTAAGATATTCCGAAAAATATCGCACATCCTGCTATTTAGAACTTCTTTTCGTATCTACTAAAGATGATTTCGTATCTACTAAATGATATTGTTATTTCAAACAGCTATGAATGACACCCCTACTTCATATAAAGCACTGTAAATATACCTGTTTTATCATTTTTAAGCCGTACGTTTTCACTCATAAAACAAAAGTTAATTGTTAAATATTCGCAGTACAGTCCCTTCGTGAACCACTCAGAGATACAACGGTGCATACTGCACGTGGAGTAGCTGCAACGGTACCAGGCGGAGCGGAACATTCGCTGCTGAGGCTGTGCGCCACGACGGCGACGGCGACGGCGTCGTCGCCACTCCAGACGCCCGGGCCCCGCGCCCGCGAGCTCCACGGCGCAGACGACTCCGACGAGCACATCCCGGCGACGGGCGCACAGGATAAAGAAGAGGAAAGGGAGGAGGAAAGGAAGAGGAGGGAGCGGAGGAGGGGATGTGAAAAATCCTTTATTTACTTCTTTTTTGTCTTTTCCTTCACTTTCTTCTTTTAGCCTTCGCCTTCTCCTTAACATCCTTATTCCTTTTACCTTCTTTCTCTTCTTCTTCTTCTTCTTCTTCTTCTTCTTCTTCTTCTCCTTCGCGTTCTTCTTAGAATGAACCTGCCTCATAATTCGAGTCATGCTTGATTTCTCGATGTACTGCCCATACCTTTCTTAAGGGTGATAGATTATATGGGACTTGAGATGAGACTCAGGGTAGAGCAGGAAAGATTTCACACAGTCCTTGACGTGTTCTCTGAGGGCACTTTTCCCAGATCTGTGAGGCATTGACAGAAGGAAATTTCGTAAATGACATATCAAATCAGACGACCTCAAGAATTCTCATCTAAGTAGTTGCATCGTCTAACCAGCTACACTTCGTTTATCGAAGCCCACCTCTGTCATGATTCGAACCAAACCTCCCGGATTATGCAGCTTCAGCAACACTATTTATAAACGCACGCGATAAAAAGAGAAATAGGAAACGAAATAGTTGAAGTAATAATGTCAATGCACGTGCAGTCCTTCAATACGAAATCATTTGCAGTCGTTAAAAAATTATGAAAAACTCCAAACCTTAGTTAATTTGTTGTTTTTAATAATATTGATCCACTTTGTAAGCGATGAAAACGGCGCATTACCTTCATTGTAAAATGTGTCATCGTGTAGGCTTTGGAATATCTTTAAATTAATTTTCTCTCTCTATCACCGAGCCAGGGGCATTGCCAGAAGCCAATATATGTTATCTGATCTAACAGGTGTCGTAAAATCTGATCTAAAAACAATATAGTGGATTGTAGAGGACGAAGTAAATGTCAAAAGGTCCTTCAAACATGCCATTTAGAAATTATTTTCGTGCTCTTCCTCTCATGACCAAACCGGAATACATATTTCCCATTTCCCATTTGCGCTTCCCATTTGGTTGTAAATGAATCACAATGGGCATCATTTGTGTCGATTAGCTGTTAGACGAAAGAATTGAGCATGCGTCAATCTCTAGTCCGCAGAATTTCAATACTTATCACCCCTTTATATCAAAATTATTGTGAGTTAAAGTTAGCCTCTTTCAGGATATTCCATTCGATTAAATCTTACTAACCATTTTCAGACTCGTATTTTCGTTGCGTATCGTCTTCCACTCTGCGAGCGCAGTCCCCGATATGTCCCTTGTGCGGCTTGCTGCCGCGACCGCCGTGCGCCGCCCCGCCGCTGCTAAGCCCTGCGTCGTATCATTAGCGTGCGCGTTTCCTTGGCGGATTTAAAACCGGGGAGCCGCCGCGCGCGCCGCTGATCCGGGCATGCGGGAGCAGTCGATACGCGCGCATTGGGGGCACAGCCCCCGCGCTGAGCCCCGCCTCGGCTTCGTCTCCTCGGATCAGCCGCCAGACTTCATTTGTCGCTCGTCAATTTCTTCCGTTAAGCGCATGTGTACAAAGTTGGTTTTTCATATATTCGAGTGATTTGAATGAGATTATTTTTTAGGAATCATAAAAAAGTTCGAAATTTATCCGCAATAGAAAAGGTTACATTTCCTTGCAAACAATAGTGGGACAGACAATTGGCTTTAGTAGTTTATGCACTGAGAACATAGTAGTGTTATTCTCTAAAACATATCAGTCGAATTGGATTCTACAATATTATTTGTTTATAGATGAAACGCGTATTTGTACGCATATGCTGGTAGGACATATTTATTGTCACTTTTTATTGAGAATGGAATTGTGAATCACGTTTTCTAGTCCAGAGATTTACGATATTTTTTGGGATGAAAGTACTGGTTATATTTCTCGAAAATTAGAAATTACGTTTAGTTTCAAAGAAATATTTAGTGGAATTGTAGATAACCAAGACATTGTCCAAAAATTCTAATCTATGACACTCCGTGTGTTTTAACTGTTCCTGTGATAAATGTTGTTAATCACTGAAAGCTATTGTCATGACCTGAATATATGCCGATAAGCTTCGAATTGTTATAGTTGTTACTTGATAACAAAAAGAAAATGGAATGAAAGGACAAACATTTATAGATTTTGATTTGCCAGTTGGTTAGGGTAACCTCGAAAATCTCGATCGGAAAAACCGGCCTCAACAATTCTTCTCCAGACAGCCGCTTCTTTCGATCCAACCAATTAGCTACATCGAAGGCCAACTGGCTCTGGTTTCTAGGACCACCCGGTCTACGACGGTATCAACAAGAGAAATTACAGGAGTCACCACTCCAAATGGCGATCGTTTCGCCTCTTATGTGAACACTAAGCGATCAGATGCCGCAGTGAATTCCTCTGATGCCATTGGAAGAGCTAGAAGTTTGATAAAAGTTGGCAAGATGCTCGGAAAAGAGTAAGCATGAATGGATAAGAGAAAGAAGCATGTACGAGACTAGATGATCATGTATGGAGTGTGCTTCAGGAAGAGTGAATAACTGCGGGCAAATAAGGAAGGCAGAAGCAAATGTGATTATAAAGACGGGAAAGTGGAAGCGAGCACAGGAGAGTGAGGAGTGTTTTCGAATTGTGAGAGAATATGCTACCCACAAATACAGAGGATCATGAGCAAGTGAGAAGGGAGGTACATTATTCGTTCATACAGACACTAACGGAGACAATGGAAACTAGAAAATACAAGCGTTGACGAGTTTGGGTGAATGATGCACGTGGATATGAGACTTTCTTCAAGTATTGTCGGAGACAGATAAACGGGATAGCGGGAGAGCGCAGAACAGTGCAGGCGAGCCTCACCGAGCGAAAAAACTGCACATGAGGGCAGGAGAATATAGACTCAGAACTCCAACGAACGCTAAAGAGCTCAGATAAGCACAAACGATTGCACATGAGTGCTGGCGAGCACAAGCAAACGCATTAGAGAGCGATCGAGTACAATCGGTCCCATGTGAGTGCGAGCGAGTACAAGCGAGCACGGGCGAGTACAAACAAGTATGGTCGCTAGTCCACGCGTCCGCAGGCGAGCGCCATCTGATGCGGGCGAGTCGCGTGGGCGTGGGCGTGGGTGGGAACGAGGACGAGCGACGTGCAGCGGCCCGCATCGCCTACCGTGAGGCGAGGTTTACCACTCGTTATTTCTCTCGAGCGGCGAACGGCCTTTCAGCCGCGGATTCTCGCCCATGCATGGAATATCCGCCCGGCGCGCGAGTGCCAGCGCGAGCGCAGCACACGAAACGCCAGTAACGTTCGGTAATTGCGTTGTAACGATACCGTTTATGACGTTTCCTTGCCCGCTCTCTGAAGATGGGATCTTTCTCCAGATGTGTGCGCGCTGTTTCAAACTGAACAGATGCCTTAACGCCAGCTTCCCGCCGCCTCTCACAAGTGAGTGCACAATACACAGGCGTTGCCTCAGATGCGGTTTAGGCGAGAGCGGTGGAGGTCTGCGGCCTCACGTACGTGAGGGGACATGTGCGTCTACACACACACAACAACATTCATTGCAGATTTTTCTTCATTCCTTCCATTATATTTAACAGAAGCAATGAATATTTCAACGATTTTCTGAACGAAACATTTTATCAATTTTTAAACGTTGTTTCTCTTGTAGATTTATTTATACACTGAGAATCTTCAATAAAATTGCATACCTTTACTAAGAGGTACACAGTGATAAAAAAACTCCAGCACTAATACTGTGTAAAAGGACAGTGAGTTTAAGTGAGTTTATCGCCAGTGTTAAGAAAGTGTTAGGAATTGTTAAAAGTGTTAAGTGAGTTAGGCAGAGAAAGAAATGAAAATTGATAGGAACTGTAGAGTGTTAAGAAATCTTAGAAAAGAAAGAGACAGAATAACTCGAAGTGACTAGTGAATAGTATACATCAATATACAATAATTGTAAGAATTAGTAATAAGACAACCACCCACTCTGCATGCAGGAGGCCTTTGCCTTAAAGAGGATTCAACCAGGTTAATAATAATAATAATAATAATAATAATAAAACGTTTTCTCATATTGCTTTCTACATTTGTTGCTTCATTTACGCAATTAATCAGCTGTATGGAAAGTTGGGAAATGTTACTAGATTTATTGTTTTAGATTTTCTATTATATTAATTTATTTTATAAATAACTCAGTTGGAGTAATGATCAAAGTACGTTTGTGTGAAATTACAAGCACTCTCCTATTCTGCAATCCTCTATTCTAAGTGCTCTACACCCATTTACTTTCAGCTCAAATTTGCTCTCATGATAGTATCCTAGATAGAAACATGATACATCACACTGGGCGAATGCCTTTGCGGCCACCACCCACCATAGATGGTGACTTTCTTACTTTCCCGTTTCAATGCTCGTTCGCAGCTCGTTCGGAGCTGTGGTGTTTCTGCATACAGAATCCTCACACAAGCATATCGTTCACACACACGTGATGGAACGGAGATAATCGGATTAACTACAATCTTTTGACAAAGGATGCTCTTTGTGATACGTTGCTAGCCACGAGAACCGCGAGTAGCGCAGAGAGATAAAGAGGTGGGCGGCAACGATCCAGTGGCGTGTTGAAAGGTCTAGCGTTCAATTTCCGGAGTTGACTAGTTTGCGTTATTTCCTGTTTCCTTTGTCCGTGGCTTGTCAAAAGATAATGCTATTTATGCTTTATTAGGTGGCTACGACTTCGGCTTACTCTGGTTCAATTTTGAAATAAGAGTCGCCTAAAAAATTCAAAAGGCGCACTTGTTGGCAAAACTTTTTCTTGTATTGTCTCCCTCTACTCAAGAACTGTACCCATACTTTATTAAATCATTGGAAAATTAAAATTTAATGATATATTGATGATTAAAACCATCTCGGGGGTAATAGAACATGTTATGTTGTAGGCGACAGATAAAACTCGAATACGTCACGTGTACGTAGAATCTTTCACAGAGATCCATTCGCATGACTCACACGCTCGTGCCGAGGTTTCCGAGCCAAACGGCTACGTAGCACGGCCTAGACCGCACGCAAGGGCAAGAGGAAATCCACGGCACTGCGCGAGTAGTCGGCGCCGCAAGCAGGGGCTAATCCGCAGCCCCCCCCCGCGCACGCGGCCACAAAGA